TGTCCCAAGCCCCTCTCCAGCTTTCCTGTAGCCCCTTCAGGCACTGGAGCTGCTCTAAGGTCGCCCCTTCAGGAGCCTTCTCTTCTCCAGGCTGAACCAGCCCAGCTCTCTCAGCCTTTCCTCATATGCTGCTCAGTCCTTGGATCATCTTTGTGACCCTCCTCTGGACCCTCTCCAGCCCATCCACATCTGTTTTGCATAGCAGGGACCAAAACTGAGCACGGTGTTCCAGGGGTGGTCTGACCAGCACTGCGTTATGTTTTGGTTAATGTAATTTAAAATTTTTGCATGGGGAAATCAGATGGGTTCTAATGCTACAATGTTCACCTTAGTGAGAAGTGAGGCTGCTTAGAGCAATGGATCTAATTGCAGAAGGGGTAGACAGGATTTAAATATTCTTACTTGTTAAAATCCTAGAGATAATAAACTCTTTATTTGGGGCTTTTGTTCTATAATTGTTTCTGTGGAAAGGAAAGGAAGGAACTGTATTTAACACCCGACATGAATCATAGAATCATAGAGTATTTAGGGTTGGAAAGGACCTTAAGATCATCCAGTTCCAACTCCTCTGCCATGGGCAGGGACACCTCACACTAAACCATGTCACCCAAGGCTCTGTCCAACCTGGGCTTGAGCTCCACCATAGATGGAACATTCACAACTTCCCTGGGCAACCCATTCCAGTGCCTCACCACCCTCACAGTAAAGAATTTTCTCCTTATATCCAATCTAAACTTCCCCTGTTTAAGTTTTAACCCATTACCCCTTGTCCTGTCACTACAGTCCCTAATGAAGAGTCCGTCCCCAGCATCCCTATAGGCCCCCTTCAGATACTGGAAGGCTGCTATGAGGTCTCCATGCAGCCTTCTCTTCTCCAGGCTGAACAGCCCCAACTTTCTCAGCCTGTCTTCATATGGGAGGTGCTCCAGTCCCCTGATCATCCTCATGGCCTCCTCTGGACTTGTTCCAACAGTTCCATGTCCTTTTTCTGTTGAGAATGAATGCTAGGTTTTGTTACCATTTGGGCCTTCATGAAAGTCAGTGGGAGTTTTGTATTCAACAAAAGCCTTCAGTTGTAAATTTAACATAGCCTTTGTACATTGTTCTTCGTTCATTCTGTAGACTGATTTTGGATGGGGCTCCTCTTATAGCTATACATAAAGCCAGGTATTTCAAGAAAAAAGATGGCTTGGCTCTGGGACCTGGACCTTTTGTAACTGGGCTGGAATACGCGACAGACACCAAAGCAACTGTGGTGGGGAAGCCAGAGAAAACCTTCTTCCTGGAAGCTCTGCGGGGAACTGACTGCACGCCAGAGGATGCTGTCATGATCGGTGATGTACGTATGTGGGGTATGAGTGCCATTATCACCTGCACTTGTCTGCATTGTGTGTGGAGCCTTCCAAATGCTGCAGAGAGATCTTTCTAGAAGTGCTGGGATTAAACAAGGGGTGAAAATGGAACCATCCAACCTCACAGGATTTCATGTGTAGTCCATGGGGGTCACTGTCTGAGCAGGAAAAAGGCACACAGTAATTCATTCCTGTGACACTGTGTCTAGTAGATAGCCAAAAGATTTGCCTCAGTGTAGCTGCTGGAGAATGTTACGAAAAACTTAAGTGACCACTAACCAGCTGATTTCCTGTTTGCCCCAGGACTGCAGGGATGATGTTGGAGGTGCTCAGAAGGCGGGTATGCGTGGGATTTTGGTACGGACTGGTAAGTCCTCCACAGATCAGTTGTTTCAGGAGGCAGTGGTGCATTTCATGGTCTCACCCTGGGTGCTGGCAACCACCGCGCCCAAAGATCTGGTGCTTGTGCTTTGCAGACTCCTGCCATTGCTCTGCGTGAGTCAGGATCAGTGGGGGTGGCTGACCTTGCAGGTGCGAATTTTGTGCTCTAATGACTATAAATCCCGAGCACTAACCAAAGAACAGAGAGAACTGCTACTGCGACATCTTAGATTGCCAAAATCAGTCATAGCAAAGTAACCTCTGATCAGTCAGGAGCTCTGGTAACATTCCCTAGTAATTACACTAGTAATTATAGAAGTAATTTTGCTTCAGAAAAAAAGTGGAACATTAAGGGACTGACAGGTATTACCAGTGTTATTGATGGTACTGTGGACAGGGAAGGGGCCTTTCTGAGGTGGCAGCTGCTCATGCCACAGAGTCCATTACATTAATAATGGAAGCAAGTGATCCTACTCTTCCTCATAAAAAGCCAGAAGCAAAGATGGTAACATTATTATTTCAAGAACCTGCAAAATGAGTATCTGAATACTCAGTGAAAGAATAGTGCCAGTACAGCAGAGTGAAACCAGTGCATAAGTAACTTTGAGCCAGAGCCACCACTGGAGAACTCAGGAAGACTCAGTCTGGAACTAGATGATCTTAAGGTCCTTTCCAACCCTAACTATTCTACGATTCTATGATTCATTTAGGGAATACTTTTGTGGGGTATTTGTTGCAGAACCTCAGATCACAGAATCATGGTTTGGGTTGGAAGGGACTTAAGATGAGCTTTAAGAGCTCATCCAGTTCCAACCCCTGCTACGGGCAGTACCACCTTCCACTACAGCAGCTTGCTCCAAGCACTGTCCAACACTGCCAGGAATGGGGCAGCCACAGCTGCTGTGGGCACCCTGTTCAAGAGATGGATGCTCCTCGTGCTGTTTCTGGCTGTTACTGATCTGAGAAGGCTGTGGTGTTCAGGGGAAGAGAAGGATACTCAAGGTACCTCGGTAAATGCATTATTTTGTTAATCTGTTACAGGTAAATATCGACCAGCAGATGAAGACAAAATCAATCCAGCTCCTTACTTAACCTGTGAGAATTTCCCAGAGGCAGTGGAACATATCCTGGAGCGCCTGCTATGAGAATTGGGGGGGTGTGCTATGAGGAAGGGAATAGTTAGTTTGAAGAAACATCTGTTTCACATAATTTCCTTTACTCTTGCTTCATAAAATTGTCACAGGATCAATGCATGCCTTTCATCAGAAAACTAGCTGTGGGCTCCTTCCACTCTCATTGTGAAAGGGCAGATGATCCACAAAGCCCTTTTCCTGTAGTAGTTTCAGGAGGATGTGATAAGGGACTGTGGACGCTCGCAGGTGAGACAGGCTGCAGCCTCCTGAATGACATGGGGAGCATTACAGAGAGGTCTGTTTATTTTCAGTTTTCAAGAAATAACTGATGAAAAGCCCTGTCTGGAAAGTGTCATGGTTCTGCTGCTGAATGAGCTAAACTGAACTCCCCCCTCACTGGAAGTACTCATGTAAATAAACCTCAGAGTCTAACAGAGCCTCAGTCAGCCTGTAGTGATTTCACTGAGGATGTCCCTGCTCTGCTGTAATTTAAAGGTGGAGATTATGCATGTTTAGAAGTGACTTGAAAATGTCACCATTGTTTAATAATAATTACTGTTGGTATCTTTCTTCTCATTAAGAACAGATCCTGGGTTTTTTGTTTTGGAAATTTGACATAAAAACTGTCAGCATTTTACAGATGTTTTAATTAGGTGCTGTTATTAAAAAGAATGATACTGAAACAAAACCCTGGTATTAAATGCCTTTGAGACTGTGTCTTTTAAAATTAGACTTCAGCAGGGTCCTATCGATCCTACAGTTGCAAAATGTCACTGTTATTGGAGGGTTTTGTTTCTTTTTAACATTATGGTAAAAATCCCTCACAAGCCATGGGGACAGATTCCAGTTTTTACACAGTTGGTTAGCAGTAAAATGAGATTTAATTCTGCAGTATGCAGTGCTTCTCCTGTGCACCAAATCCCCCAGTACGAACCAAGTTTGTAATGATGGTAAATAGCTTTTCTGGTCCATTTGCAAATCGCAATAATCCAAGTCCTTTACAGTTGTTTTACAGTGCTCCCGAGTGTTAAATTATCAGATTAGTAATTATACATTACTGGATTATTAACCTTACTGAAAAATACAGTTTTGTGTTAATGAGCCATGCTTGTTCTTGTTAAGAAAAATCATCGTGATGGATGAATTTCCTTACGTGACAGAGTGTGTGGCTGCAGTTGCACGTGGTGGATGGTTGCCTATGCTCACATTTAATCTCCCTCAGAGACAGGACACATGAATGGAGTACACTTTGCAGTGGAAACACAAGAACTGATAAACCTTCCCACCTAAAAACATAAGACATCTTTAGATACCATTTGTGTGCCCTCATAAATTGTTAACCTACAGTTTTGAGTAAATCCACACATCTTGTGTTCATGTCAACAGTTCTGAATCTGGGTTGGTTTCTGCTTGGAGTACAGAAGGGAGGTCTGTGGCTTGCAGAAAGAGATCCGTAAGCAAAGTCCTGTGAACACATTTCTCATAAAGACTTCTGACAAGCCAACTGGAAGGTAACACATTTGGCACATGAAGGTTTTGATCTTGGCTGAAAACAATGTCGAACTAATCAAATTTACAAGGCACTGCTAAGGTGCTGAACTTCACTGAAAGCAGTTAACATTTCATTGCAAAGATGCTCTAGTGAGTCTCAGAAGTTGAGAATTCCACTAATACCACAGAATCCCAGACTAGTTTGGGTTGGAAGGGACGATAAAGCTCATCCAGTTCCAACCCCTGCCACAGGCAGGGACACCTTCCACTAGAGCAGCTTGCTCCAAGCCCCTGTGTCCAACCTGGCCTTGAGCACTGCCAGGGATGGGGCAGCCACAGCTTCTCTGGGCACCCTGTGCCAGTGCCTCAGCACCCTCACAGGGAAGAGCTTCTGCCTAAGAGCTCATCTCAGTCTCCCCTCTGGCAGGTTAAAGCCATTCCCCTTGGCCTGTCCCTACAGGCCCTTGTCCCAAGCCCCTCTCCAGCTTTCCTCCAGCCCCTTTAGGCACTGGAGCTGCTCTGTCTCACCGGAGCCTTCTCCATGTCTTACTGTTTATATAGTATCTAATTATTTTTAAGTGTTCTGTTCCTTTTTTTCTACCTCAAACCTGTCAACAACTGTTGTGAATAAAGACTGATAATCGATCTTTTAAGTTTTTATACATAAAATTAAGGCTGGAGTCTTTATTACATAGCAACTGCCATTACATTAAGTCCATGAAGAATGTTTCTGGAATGGTAATTAAGAAGAGCTAATTAAATATAACCAACACCAGACCTCCCACCATTAAAAGGTTTCAAAAAGGTTCACCGTTTTTGAAAGCAAAGATTCCCCCTGACTTTTGTGTCTGCACTCTCTTTCCTGGAAACAACAGCACTTGGATAGCAGAAGTCTTGGAAGTTTTCAATCTTTGGATTGTTTTATTTTTTCCTTTTTAAACTGACTCAAATTCTCTCTGCCAAGCAGCATACTTCTGGCTTAGATTCTTTGCTGATGGCTTGGTGTGGGTGATCACATCCAGGAAATCTGCTGTGGTAATCGTGTCTAATTGGATCACGGGTAAGTTACGGTTACCTAAAAAGAAGAGAATTGATTAAATACTGCTGTTATTGCCAGAAAACATTCTTTTATGTCCCTGCATGTGGTTGGGTTTGCCTGACTAGGTTTTGGTAGTGGCTGGACTACAGCAGTAGTACCTCTGGGATAATGTGTTTAAAGAGGGGAAAAACCCCTGTGTAACTGCAGCTCAAGAGGGGAGTGAGAACATGTGAGAGCAACAGCCCTGCAGACAGCATGGTCAGTGAAGGAGGAGGTGGGAGCTGCTTTAGGCTCTGAGGCAGAGGCTCTCCTGCAGCCTGTGGTGCAGACCGTGGTGAGGCAGGCTGTGCCCCTGCAGCCCATGGAGGTCCCCACAGTGGAGCAGGGGAATGCCAAAAGAGGCTGTGACCTCATGGAGGCCTGCACTGGAGCAGGCTCCTGGCAGGACCTGTGGCCCATGGATAGAGGAGCCCACACTGGAGTGGGTTTGTTGTCAGGAGCTGTGATCCTGCGGGGGATCCACATTGGAGCCATCCGCTCCTGAAGGATGCACCCATGGAAGGGACCCACGCTGGAGCAGTTAATGAAGAACTGCATCCTGCAGCAAGGACTCCTGTTGGAGAAGTTCACCTGTGCTGGAGCAGGTGAAGAGTGTGAGGGGCTCTCCCGAGGAGGAAGGAGCAGCAGAGACAACGTGTGATGAACTGACCACAACCCTCATTCCCCATCTCCTTGTGCTGCTGAGGGGGAGGACGCAGAGAAACAGGGAGTAAAGGTAAGCTCAGGATGAAGGGAAGGGTGGGGGAAAGATGTTTTTTAAGATTTGGGTTTATCTCTCATTACCCTGTTCTGAATGTTAGTAACTCAAGCTCATGTCCCCATGTCAACTCTGTTTTGCCTGTGACAGTAAATGGTGAGTGATCTCTCCCTGTCCTTAACCCAACGAGCCTTTTGTGATGCTTTGTCTACTCTGTCCAGAGGAGGAGGGCAGTGATGGAACACCTTTGGTGGCCACAAGGCCTCCAGCCAGACTCAACCCACCCCACTGCCTAATGCAGCACTTCCTATATGAAAACAACAGAATAAACCTAGTGATATGAACTAAAAACTGTATCTGTGCACAGAGCGCAGACACTGACAGCTTTAAATAGAGCCCTGGTTTTCAGCAAGGTCATCTTAGGTAGATGTTTAGAAATCCAGGGTTTAAAACGTCTCCACGCAGATGACAGAGCTCCACCTGCTGGGGTTAACGGTGATTTCTGGAGTTACAGAGCTACGGCAGCAACTCCCGGAGTGGATTCTCTTCTCAGAGCTGCGGTACCTGGCTTATGATTTTCTAGAGCATCGAAGATTTTCCTCACAGGTCTCATGGCTGCTTCCTTGCACACGAGTTTTATGTCAGAGCCGGAGTACCCATCCGTTTCCTAGGATGGGATCAGAAGGATACATTACAGCTTACAGATGTATAAATTGCACAGGAATGGGGATTATGGTTTATATAAATATACATAAAATACCTGTAAATTATATTGTCTGTAATATATATGTATCTATCTATATATATATATATATATATATACACATCTATAATTTTATGTGTACCCTCCCTTCAACATCACGTTGCTTGTTCTTGTTTTGAATCCTCACAGTACCTTCTAAGAGCAAGGAAAATACTGGAACAGGATTCACTGGAACAGGCTGCCCAAAGAAGTGATAAATGCTCCATTCCTGGCAGTGTCCAAGGCCAGGTTGGACAGAGCCTTGGGCAACATGGTCTAGGGTGAGGTGTCCCTGCCCATGGCAGGGAGTTGGAATTGGATGTTCTTAAGGTCCTTTCCAACCCAAACCATTCTATGATTTTAATACTGGGTATTTTCTTTCTAAAGGGAAATCTGCTGTAGGTTAAATAAAACCCACCTTTCTGTGTCCATTCCTGGCTTTCCTATTAATGTAATACCTGTGTTTCCTTATTAACATCTGTGAAACAAAAACTGAGCAGTGTTGTGTCTGTGAACAGGCATGAAGAGGGCCAACTGAGTAAGCTGCAAGGTATTTTTGAAGAACCTAGGATGTGACAAAGGGCTAAATGAAGAAAGCCTGGGTATCAAGTGGATCTCTTCACTGTCTAAATGCTTTTTTTTCCTGCAGCAGTGGAGCTGTGGCAAACCTTCCCTACACAATTAACTGTTCATTACCCTGATGAATTGGAAGTGCTCCCAGCCTGGTGAGAAGAGTGATAAAATATACTGCTACTGGAAGTCTCCCTGTATTTAAGGCTGAAAAGCTGGCCCAACTGAGGGGTTCAGAATACACCACTTTGCAAGTAGGGCTGTGGGAAACCAATGATTTCCATGGGCAGGAACATGCCTGTGAAACACTAAGTGGTGTGCTTCACCCTTTGGCTGGAGCCTGAAACTGAGTTGAGGTCCTTCCCCCATCTCCCTGTGTCACAGATGTGTAATTCCATCAGTGTGGATGACGAGTGTCACTCTTCCATATGGCTCCCACCCAGGAAGACCTGAAGCATCATCCCACCTGCAGCGCTGTCTCACCTGGCCCAGCAAGCTGTAGTCCAGGTCTGTTCTCAGCTCCACTCCTCCGCTGTTGCTCACAGCGGGCAGCCAGTGCTGGATCATCACTTGCCGTGCCTCTTTGCTTGGGAGGTCAACCAATATCCTCTTCTCCAGCCGCCGCAGCATGGCAGAATCCAGCTCCCTGCAAAAAAGAGGAGGAGAATTGTCTCAGTGCGTCTCATTGTGGAGACATGGCTTTGGCAGCAAGCTCCTCGCTGCAGGGACTGACATTTTTCAACCCCACCTACAACTGTGTCAACCTAATTTGGGGAAATAAAAAGAAGAAAAGGGTTAACTATTCAGTGTATTCCTCTTCAGTCTGTTAGTGAAGAGATGCTGGCTTGCAACAAGCTGAACAGTAAGAAAGAGAAGTTTTAGTTATCTTCCCTGGCTCTGATACTCCTATGCAAGAAGTCTAGTCAGTAACAACCTCTCCCTTTCTCCCTCTGCTATTAATTGTCTGTCTGGGGCACTGTCAGGACTAATTAATTGCTTAGTAGGTACAAAATACAGACTGGAGGTGTTGGATATGAGGGCATTCAGTTTATGACTGAATGAGACATCGATCTGAGACTGCTCCTGCAATACAGATTATAACTAATAAGCCAAAAGGAAAATATCCTTATAAAAAGGGTGGACAGGCTGCATAAATGTGTCAGTGAGCCAAACCCCATGATGCCGTTAGCATCAACACTGATAAAGGTATTTTACAAAAAAAAAAAAAAGAAAAGGTAAAATACAAAAGATTGGGACTACTCTTCATTTTTGCTTGCTTGTGATGCCAAAAGGAAGCTTGAAAGAAAAATGACTGGTTTTCTGTTCTTTTCTCAGTGTGTTTCATCACCATCCAGGAACAGTCCTTCAGGCCAGTGTCCACAGATTCCACCAAGTGTCAGGAGTCCTGGTACGCCTGGCATGCCAACTTCTCTCAGACACACATCCAAACAGTTCATTCTAATCTATTTTTTCCCCCACAATTATTTTCAGTTGTTTGCATCTAACAGTAACACAATCAAACAACTGAATACAAATTCCTACTCCGGTTCATCCCTTGCCACTTGTGTCATGGGAATGGTCTATGAGTACTCCAGTCATCCATACAATTTTCAACAAGAAATAGTTGTTAGTAAATATTTACTCAGTTATAAGTCTCCAGTGCCTTCCAGGAGCTGCTCCAAGCTATTACCCTTCCAAGTGCTGTACCCATCTTTCTCTATTGGCCCCATTCAGTCACAGACTTGTTATTTCTGTTTAAAATACAATTCAGTCCTCGCACCTGCTGAGAAACTCATCAAGGGGAAACTCACTCCAATGTGTCTTGTGCAGACAGAAAACCAGGAGCCCCAAGCACCATTTCCACCCTTGTTGGCTGAGCAGGAGCAACCAGGGAGGGTTGTGTCTGTAATCTGTGACTGCAGATACACATAAATAAACCTGCCTCCATATCCCAATTCCCTTTGTGAAATCTTTTTGCCAGCAAGGGCAATATTTAAGCAACACTTCTTGTATGGAACTCCTCTTTAATTTACAGGGGGCTCGAAGCCAGGTCAAGATGGATCTGTAGCACACCAACAACTATATTTCTGTCACCTCTGGTGACTTGTCCTTATTTTTTAATAGCAAATATTTTCTACTGGCATAGCACATGACAAAGAAAACCAAAATGGGCTCCCAAATCTGCACATGGGTGCCTGCATTCCACAGACCTCAGCATGCCCAGCTCTCAGATCAGTGGGAGCAGAAACATTTTCTCCTGTGAGGGTGGTGAGGCACTGGAATGGGTTGCCCAGGGAAGTTGTGAATGCTGCATCCCTGGTGGTCTTCAAGGCCAGGTTGGACAGAGTCGTGGGTGACATGGTTTAGTGTGAGGTGTCCCTGCCCATGGCAGGGGGGATGGAACTGGATGATCTTAAGCTCCTTTCCAACCCTAAATATTCTATGGTTCTATGATTCTATCCCTCTCCACAGAAAGGACCTCTTGGTTTGGGAAATCTTGTTCCATGTGTGCTGAGCCAAAAGCAATGAAAGCAACAATCAGAAAACCAGATCAATAGGAAGTCAGAGGACAACAGGAATTTGCTCAAAACCCCAGAAGTAAGTATCATAGTTTGTTAATCAGTGGCTGTTGGTATACTGATATTATTATTGATTTTTTTAAAGATGTTTAAGATGGTGTCCAGCATTCAGTGCAACATGTCTTACACAGGGTCCCACCCAGAACAAAGAACCAGGTTAGTCCCCACTGTCCTTAAAAATGTATTTTTCGGCTCAACTTCCCAAAATTACTTTACTTGTCTGGAAATGTTACTCTCTGGCTGACCAACCCCTTGGCTTATTTATCCATATTATCATCCTTTGCATAAACAGGGTAAAATTGCAACCTTTCTAGGTAACAGAGCAACTTCTGTGTATCAGTGGGCTTGGTGAGGATGCTCATGAAACTGTGATCTTGGGGGACACCCCAGGAGTGCTCTGAAGCTGCTTGTTGGCTAAAGAGGAAAATAAAGACAGAATATTTTTATCTTAAGTGTTTAGGTTGTTGCTAAATTGTTTTGTTAGGAATCAAATGCAAGGTTAAGGGACACTAATGAGAATACAATAATAAGCACTAAGCCAACCAAAATATTCTCTCAAACAATAGCCAACAGAAGTATTAAGAAATGCTAATGAAAAGATACCTATAAAAGCAGGTGACTTTATGGAGCTTTCCCAGATAGACATCAAGAGGCATCGTGCTACTTTATCACTCCCAAATTTCATGAAGAAAAACAAGATAAACACCTATTTTCATTTTCAGAAAGAAAAAGCGTAACAATTGTATTTTAGGCAGAAATTAAAAGACCTCAAGAACTCCAAAGATGAAACCCAAAATGGTAAAAAGAGCTGACTGGTCCATAATTACTCCCTGCTTAGTGCAGTCATCACCGCAGTGCTCTAGCTGAAAAGGCACCAGGAACAAGGGAACTTCTCATCCTTTCTACTTCCCACCCTCCTGTGCAAATGGCCTGAGCAGAATCCACATAAACTGAGGGCTTGGTCTCACTCCATGTCTCAGGGCTCCTCTTAGGGCTTCCCCACACCATCCTTTGCTCTTCTTCCTCACTGTCCTCCACCACACACAGTGCACTGCTGAAGGTGAAGGAATGGGTTTGTTATGGTGTAATCATAGAATCATAGAATGGTTTGGGTTGGAAGGGACCTTCAAGATCACCCAGTTCCAACCTATCTGATTTGGGTTTCACAGCCCACCTCTCCTTCTACCTATCTTGGCCATGTGCTCATAGCTCCAATGGGACTAGGCTCAGACAGAAGCAAAGAGTCTATCAGCTGGCTCCACAGCTTCACCCACCATGAAGGGGAAGAAGAAGAAAGCAGCACTTCATGGAAGTTGAATCAAATGCACTAATACCTTAGGAAACGTTCACTGCATGGTTAAGGATCACTTTATTTCTTTGCTAATGAGGCCTTTATTTAATTACATTGAACCATTTCAACAAGTAATTTGTCAATACAAAGTGCCTCGCTGATGAGTAGCAGGAAGTGCGACTGGGCAGCAAGCACTGGCTGAAGGGGAAGATCAATAGCTGTAGCTTAAAGACAGAATAAAGAGCTTTGTTTAGGCTTCTTTTCATTCATCTAAAAGCAGCTTGTTTTTTTCCATGATCAATAAGTATCCAAGTTAAACAAATCTCTTGAAATCCAGCTTAATACCAAATGTTTGCAAGAACACACGGCTGTTCTGTGAAGCCACAATCTCAGACTGTGGTACTAGGGATCCTGAAACTTCGTTATCAAACATCCCTATGCAGCTGAAGTCTGCGTGTTACAGCAGGACTGAATGTCACCTAACGTACACAAAAATAATCTGTAAGCACATAGTTGAGATCTTAAAAGGGGTTCAAACCCCGCTGACCTCTCTGGGAGCAGATACTCCCAAATTCCTCAAGGTTTAAGCTTCAATGACAATGTAAGATGCTCATGGCTTTCACTAGCTTTCCATCCCCTAAACACCTTTCTAAGCATACACACAGCCACATCTTAAAGCATGTTCTTTGCAGCAGGGACATTTATGCCAGACATTTTAGCTGTTACACTCAGAGGTTAGGTCTCCTTAAGAGAGGGCAAAACCCAACCTGCCCACAAGCAACACTGTGAAAGTTCAAAAGGAAATTCTAAGCTCTCAGGTGTAGAACTGTCAAAAGCCAGACCTGGCTTCTCACAGTGTCTCAGTTGCCACCCTCATACCAACACAGATTGCTTTCTGTGGGAGCAGAAATCTTGTCATTTTGGATCTTCCTTAAAAAAAAAAAAAAGTGTCATTTTTTATGTTTCAAAGAAGCAGTTTTGCAGAATTTAGCACTTTAGAATCGAAAAAGGGTCCAAAATCAAATGTGTAAACCACTCCAAACTGTATTCTACAATTTCTGCATGACTTTCCAGAAAGAGTTTATTGACTGCAGAAGGCAGACACATGGTAACAACTCAAACACAGGAATATCTTTTGTCAGAAGCAGAAAGAGGTCAGCTCCATGCTTTCATTAACACATCTCCAAGATCCCTACATCCAGCATCAGCCACACACTGACCTTCAGACCCTTTGCTGTCTCTGAACTCTTCTTCAGTGGGTTTCAAATACCCAATTTTTCCTTTCAAACCGATGTGCAGGAGAGGAGTAGAAAGACATGAATCCTCTAAAGACATCTGATCCTTTTTAATACTGCCATGCTGCAGCATTACATGTGAAGCTTTGGTGCTCACAGGATAATTTCAGAGACAATAGAAAGGTGCAAAGCACTGCCCAGAGTTTCTCTTTTTAAAGGGTAGTGATACTACAGTAACATCAACATCTATAGTGTAAAAAAAAACCCAACTGAATTATTAATATATTACTTTCAAACTTAAACAGCTACTATGTGTGTGAACAGTTGTTTTTCAGCATTTTGTTACACAACTGGAACACAACTGAGTCAAATTCTGCTCAGTTCCTTTCATGTAGATACTGTAACACAGAATGGGGTGGATTTTGTACTGATTTAAATTCATGAGTTTGTCCAAGACATAAATCCCCCAAACCAACACACAGACTCTGCTATTACTGCTATAAGAGCCAGTGATGGGTTTGTATTCATGCTGTTAGGTCAGGGTAGGAACCACCCTAACTTGTACATCTAACTTCTACATAAATTTTAGGTGTCCATATAGCTATTCTCCAAGTTAAAGGGCCTGTAAGCCCTGGGCAGGCCATAGAAAGTGGCAGATGAAAGCTTCTGGTTATGTTGCCACTTTGGCACTTGAATTTCAGCAAGTGGCTGTCAGAAGCACTGCTCTTTGGCTCTATGGGAAAGTAAGGTCTTATGTAAGGAAGGAAAATGTAGAGGGAAAGACAAGCTTGTAGAAGGAGGTATACTGGCTGTCTTCCCATGATGGACAGAAACTCCAGCCTTTACATCAGAGAAGAACTGTCTAATTCTCAACTGAGTTCTTAGGTATTTATTTCAATTTGTCTAATTTTAATGAGGGATACTGAAGGGTTAACACACTGCCTGTTTTTATGCAGCAAGTGTGTCTCTGTGCCTAACGGCCATTTCCCTTTGGCTTTCTTACATTCAGAAGAGAGAAATAACTAAAAATTACCCTCCTGGTACCTGGATGAGGCCCCTGCTTTGATTCACAGCACCACAAAATGGTTTCATGGATTGGTAGCCCAGGGACAGGTGGAATCTTGGGGCAGGCAGAAACCCAGACTAGTTTAGACTAGAAAACTAACTTCAAAACCATGCCCGTCATCAATGTGCTTTTAATTCCCTGTACAGCTCTTGGCTTCTACTCTGGAAAATAATTAGTGAGCTACAAATCAGATTGTTAAAACTAGCTGTGCTAGTTTTAACCAACAGCCATTGTTATTCCCATGTACTAACTGCAACCACTGGGGGTTGGACTAGAGGATGGGGGTTGGACTAGATCATAGAATCATAGAATAGTTAGGGTTGGAAAGGACCTTAAGATCATCTAGTTCCACCCCCCTGCCATGCGCAGGGACACCTCACAGATCCCTTCCAACCCTAACAATCCTGTAATTTGATGATGTTTTGTATGAAAGAGGAAGATATTTTACAATAGTTCAAATGAATGACCAAGCCAGATAAACATGCTGGCTCTGACAGTGGCCATGGCACATGACCTGGCCATTTTCTGCTGTCTGTTGGATTCCCCTGAGCATCCACAGTTGTTACACTACAAATATTACCTTCCCACCTCATCCCCTCCTGTCTGTCTTGCCATCAATACATGGCCTGCCCATTTTGAGTACAATGTGATGAAGTGCCATAGTTTCAATCTTAAAACTTTTATTCTTTTATTCTAAATGATGTTAAAGAAACTGGACCATTTTGTCCTTCAACTTTTCAAAGTCACATTTCACACAAATAAAATCCAACATTCCTACTTATGGAGTATCCTTCTAAGTACTAGATGTTTTAAGCACCTTACAGTTCCAGGCTGAAACCCTTCTTAACTTAAACATAGTAAATAACTTGCCTATAAAGTCAAATACTCCATTTTAAATATTAGCAGCTGGTAAGACCAGCATATGTTGACTTTATTATGGATTATTCTCATGTGACACAAATAGAAAGAATTGTAGAGTTTAAAAGTAAAAGCTCCAAATTAATCTTTAAATGCTTTAACCAAATATCAAGGCTTTTTCTGCAGAAGTCTAAATAAAATCTTTATCTGTGCTTAGAAGCTCATGCAAATGTATTCAAAATGTACTCTCTGGATCTCTTACCATGGCAGATTGGAAGCTGCTAAAACAAATACAAGATCATCAGATCGGGCCAAGCCATCCATCTGCACCAGTAATTCTGTTTTCATCCGTCGACTTCCTTCATGTTCACCACTACCAAGATTCAGAGAAATATTATTTGCTCAGTGCATTAAAGTAATCATCTTTATTTATACAGTGTCATTCACAGCAACTGAGCCCTTGTCACAGTTTTGCCCCACTTCAAAGCATGATTAAGCTCCATTAGCTAACATCTAAGCATTAAAAATCAAGCTTTCTAATGATTACTTAAATGGACTCTCTTCAGTGCATTAAAGTGAGGAGAACTCACTAGAATCCACAGAAAATATTTATTTTTTTATTCATATAAATCTCTACACAACAGTGATATTTACTGGAAAACAGCTAAAGTTTGGTTGATCTATGTAAGAGAACATTTTTAATGTGATAGTTGCCATTAAATAACTAACACAAGGCAAGCATATGGCAACTACTGGCATTTTTCTGTGAGTTAATGCTAAGTGGCCATAAGAAGATTTTGAATTCAGTATTTTGCAAAATGTTCTGTCAAAAGCAAACAGAAAAATATTCCATATTGTCCTGGGTTCCGCAGTAGCAGTTAATTCTAATTTAAATGAAAAATGGGGCAGAGACCACACGGAAGGGATCCTTCCTCAAAAATAGAAGGGGAACTTAAGCAAAGTGATAAGAACTCTGGCCCTGATCCAGGTAACCAATTTTGCAGGAAACCAGTTTGAACTCTTGGTCCCAGATGTGAAGTTCTTGGAAATTCCAGGATCAAACTCAGAGAAAAAATCAGAGTCTTAAATGGTAAAAGCTACAACTCAGGTTTAATGGCTTACTTCTGCAGAAGCATAGACACATTAGTGCCAAGTCAGTATTTAATAAGGATGTGTAAAAACAACTATATAATCTTTGATAAAAATCCTTACTAAAATACATAATCCAGTGATGTTTAAAAGTATTTATGAAGCCAAAATCTGGCTCATAATTAATAGCAATTAACTGACAAGTATTACAAGTTGTATCTTTACAATATGGCATACTGTATTTATAAATCTTTGTGAGTATATAATTTACAGTACATGAAATCCACTGTAATGGGCTTCTAATGGATATAGCAGTATTTTTATATTTCTCCTGCTTCTTCCTCATCCCAAAGCTTTTCAATCTGTTTTTAACAATAAACTGTCTATGCCCTGGATGACAATAATGACATCCTCCCATTTCTGTATCTGGAAGTCACAAGAACGTCACCTAAATTTGTCCCATTAGTCGAAATGTCATTCCACTGTGTACACCCATTTTACCCTGTTACATCTAAGCCTGTCCAGTGTCACAACATCAGCTGCTTCTTACTCACCTCAGACAAGTCATCTGTTGTTTGCCCCCCCCCCATTTCTACTTCAAATCCCTCATCATTTTAAAACACAGCACCACTGGTTACACACTCTTGCACTTCCCTTGTTCTACCAGTCTCACTGAACCCATAGTCCCTTGTTAATCTTACACAACCTTTCACACTTGTGTTTCTACTGATCTCATCTATTGTGAATGGAACAACCACTGTATCTTGCTCTTTAAATCCCCACAGCATATGCAATACTTCCATGAAGCAGTACTTTCAGAGCTGAATGATAGGCATTCTGACAATAACACACTGTGAGGCTCTGACAGCTGACAACAGAACAAAAGAAAAACTGCTTAATAAAAAGTCAAGAAAATTAACCATTAGCACTCAAAGTAATTATAATGTCAATAAAGTCTAAAAGACATGTCTTTCAGGGACACAGTCATGCTCCTGTTGAAGTCTATAGGGTAGCCTCAGGCTCTAGTTTAGCTAAGATTAATCTCTAACAGGTACACTCTGTGATTAAACACTGGTCAGCACCTGAACACACACACAGAGTATTGAAAAGATACAGTAAAAGGGAGAAAAATATTCTCCTAAAGCCATAGTAAGTAGTCTCATCAGTTACCCAGAAGCAGTGCCTCTTTGACTCATAACTGACTCCAGCTCATCCAAGAAAATTGTGGAAGGAGCATGGTACCGGGCAAGCTCAAATAATACCTGTTTAGAGAGAAGAGTAAATGTGAAAGAGAAGATAAACTTACACAAAAAGGCATTAAGGACCACTGGACAGAAGATAAATTTAACAGCACCCATTTTCTAAACTCCTAGGACAAAAAGGGGTATCTGCTGGGAAAAAGCTCTGGGTAGGCTGAGCGTCCCTGAGTCCTCTCAGATTCTCAAAGGTCTGTAAAGGAAGTATAAAGAACACAGCCCTGTAATCCTGTCTCTATATGTATACAGAGATAATAAATGCATTCATGGGACCTCACTTGGATCATTGTGTACAGCTGTGGTGTCCTCAACATAAAAAGGACATGGAACTGTTGGAACAAGTCCAGAGGAGGCCACGAGGATGATCAGGGACTGGAGCACCTCCTGTATGAAGACAGGCTGAGAAAGTTGGGGCTGTTCAGCCTGGAGAAGAGAAGGCTGTGTGGAGATCTCAGAGCAGCCTTCCAGTATCTGAAGGGGGCCTATAAGGATGCTGGGGACTGTAGTGACAGGACAAGGGGTAATGGGTTCAAACTTAAACAAAGCAAATTCAGGTTAGATATAAGGAAGAAGTTCTTTACTGTGAGTGTGGTGAGGCACTGGAATGGGTTGCCCAGGGAAGCTGTGAATGCTCCATCCCTGGCAGTGTTCAAGGCCAGGCTGGACAGAGCCTTGGGTGACATGGTTTAGTGTGAGGTGTTCCTGCGCATGGCCGGGGGGTTGGAACTGGATGATCTTAAGGTCCTTTCCAACCCTAACTGTGCTATGATTCTATAAATATTTCTGGATAAATCCTATCAGAGTATCCTGTGAATAATGGGATAGAATAAAATGATCATCTGAGAATTCTGGGAACTCCTCAATTGTTATGAGACTAAACATATATCTTTTGTTGTTGCTCCATTTGTAGTTCGTTTTTTTTTTTTTAATATGGATTTAAGAGAAAAAAATACAAGTCATCTGAACCACGATGAAAGAAAACGGACTGGTTCTCTTGATAAGAAACAAGAGTTCTTTTGTTTTTCCTGGTGAAAGCAAACATAATCTTTAATAAAGATTAAAAAATAGAGTATAAAGCTGATACAAAAAATCTGGGTCTGCCATTTGGAGAAAGAAATTTCTTCTGTATTTCTGTGGACAGGCTCGTATTAGAGGTAAGAGCATACTGTCAGTTCTTCAGTGAAGTATTCTTAGAGTTTTTAAATGAATATCACTAACAATATATATTAATTCAGCACTTTCTAATCTGAACACTTAAAAAAAACCCCAAATTTAAAAAGATGATATGTATCTTCTACATGTTGGATATGAAGCACAGGGTTTAAATTATTTGCCCAGTCTATATTTTTATTACAAATCTGAAATATAAAATCACATCAATACAGCCAAGAACTGAGGAGAACAGGTTGAGTGGACATGCCTACAAACGACTACAAAAGCTCACTTATCCTTCACACAATTTCAGAAGACTCCTGCTCCAGCCTCATGTGAATTCAGGATATGAATTCACACAATACTTCTCTTAGAGCTGTCCTGATCGACAATCTTATTTCATTGTTGGACTCTGCCAAAAACTCAACTAAGGGTAAAATGCTACAAATTCAGTATCACTGCAAACGCTGCAGCATGTTTGCAAAAACCTTTTGGATGATGGTGTCAAAAAACAGACTGTCCCTTCCCTATTCCTGCCAGAAGGGAAACTTCTAGTAAGCTACTGAGACAGATTTCAAGAGGATCAGTAACACAGTAGGTTAATGTCAGAAGAAAAATGTGCTATTTTAAAGGACACAGGACATATGAAGAGTAATCATGTTGCAGACATTGCCTAAAATTCAAGAGAGATTAACAATGCTTGCAATGCCATTTGCCAAGCACAATCTGTTACGGTTATTCACTCTCAAGAGTTCTGTATCCATCCGAAGTGCAGCTAACGAGATAAGCATAAGGGAAGGCAAAGAGCTTATGGATTTCTCACACCAAAATGGTGGACATTTATAACAGAGATGTTATATTGGGCAAGGATGCTACACCTGAATCCCTGAATGTTTCTGTACCACAGCACAGCCATGCATGCTAATTGCTAGGCTATATGCAAAAATACATCTGCCCATTTACCACCAAACTACCTTCTTTAAAATATCATCACATCTGCATTTGACTGTAAGATCTCTGTGACACAGGAATTCTTTGCCAATTCTGTGCCCTAAGAACTAAGAATAGTAGTGAATTTGGGAATCTAAGTAACGTTTTCTAAGGAGCCTAAGAGCCAACCCTTGCAGAAAGGTTATGAAGTGCTTTGAAACGGTCGCTAAGCAGACACTGCTTTACTCAGGAGCTCTGCTTGCCTGTCTGTTATTCAGTGAGTCAAGAATAGAATCACAGAATCATAGAATATTTAAGGTTGGAAAGGACCTTAAGATCACCCAGTTCCAACCCCCCTGCCGTGGGCAGGGACACCTCACACTAAACCATGTCACCCAAGGATCTGTCCAACCTGGCCTTGAACACCACCAGGGATGGAGCATTCACAACTTCCTTGGGCAACCCATTCCAGTGCCTCACCACCCTTACAGTAAATAACTTCTTCCTTAAATCTAACCTAAACTTGCCCTGTTTAAGTTTTAACCCATTACCCCTTTTCCTATCACTACAGTACCTAGTGAAGAGTCCCTCTCCAGCATCCTTGCTGCCTTCATCAGCTTCATCTTACACTACAGAACTAGAATTCCACAGCAAGAATGCATTGTGAGACACCTACAGAAGTGATGTTATTCCCATTTGAAGAACAAGATACATACGTTGTCTAATACAGGAGAGATTAGGAGTATCAGATGAATACTCCACTGTCCAGTTCTGTGTTAAACTCCAGTTCTTTAAGTGGGAACCTGATGTTTGTTAAAGTACAAGAAATGACAGAATAATTCTTACCCGGACAAGTTTTTCTGAATCACCCCTCCATTTGCTGACAATGGTGGATGCTGATATGTTGAAAAAAGTTGTATTGCATTCTGTGGCAACAGCCTTAGCAAGCAAAGTTTTCCCAGTACCTACAAACAACAGTGTTTAAAGATTTGTTTAGACTCTAAAGACTGTTGATTCAGTCTTTAAAGAAATACAATGCAAACGTTTGAATAATTCCCCTCATTATACTACCAGTCAGATAGAAACAGTAAAATAGGAGTCATAGAAACATAGAATGATGTGGGTTGGAAGGGAGCTTTGAAGGTTGTCTAGTCCAATCCCCCCCAAGCTGATCACGAACATCTTCAACTAGATCAAGTTGCTCAGAGCCCCATCCAAGCTGACCTTCAGTGTTTCCAGGGATAGGGCATCTACCACCTCATGTCTACCGCTTGTGCCAGTGTTTCAGAGTCACTCACTAGCCCGAATCTCCCTTCTTTCAATTTAAAATCATTACCTTTTGTCCAGTCATACAGATTCTACAAAAAGCCTCTGTCCCCATTTTATTGTAAGAACACTTTAAGTAGTGAAAGGCTGGAATAATGTCTCCCCAAAGCCTTCTCTTCTCCAGGCTGAACAAGCCCTGCTCTCTCAGCCTGTGCTCACAGCAGAGGTGCTCCAGCCCTCAGATCATTCTGTGGCCCTTCTAGGATTGCCTGGAGAAGCTCAGGTAATACAGAGCTGGAAATGCATTCCTCAAATTCTGAAGTACTACATGCTGAAATGGTTTCATGCTTCGCTGCCAAGTACATCTAACGATTCACAGGAACAAATGGAGTTTACTGCAGTGACAGTCTTTGCAACCTGGCTCTGGAGGTACTTGTGCCCTCTGTCTCTTTCCAGTCATACTCATGGTGATAATGCTTGTGTCAGAGTGGAGCACAGGGAGCAGTGAAACTGTGCTGACATGAACAACACTCAGCTAGCACAGCAGAGAGCAAGGCTTTCACCCCATTTCTAAAACAACCCCCAAACACAAAAGAAAGAAAGAAAGGACAAAGGACACCTCCTTAAGGAGGTGAGTCCAGAGTTATTCGCATTTCATAAGATCAGGTCAAGCCAAACTTGATTAATATGGTCCAAGCTGAGTGAAAACAGAGATATGAGCTCTCCCTCCTCTGAACAGTTAGTGTAAGTACTGGTTTTGGAAGGTTAAGGTGTAGAAATGATCACGGGTTGTGAGAAAGGAAAATGGACAGGTCTGAGTGCCAGAGATAGACATAATCATCCAACACTATCTCCTTTTATTTCACATTAGAGAACATGTTCTTCATTAACACATTTGATCTAATTAGCATCAATGATTTAACCATGGGACAAAACAGGAAGCAGTGATAAACAGGGTATAAAGCTCTCCATACCTGGTGGTCCATACAGCAATAATCCTTTCCAAGGAGACAGAATGCCAGTAAACAGCTGTGGGTACTGTGGAAACAGAAAAGTAACTGAGGATTAAAAATGCAGCAATTATAAAAAATGCAAGGGACTCTAACCCCTACCTCCACTGCTCCTAACGTGTTCAGGAAATGTAAGAAATTTGAAAAGAGGGGGATAAAACCCCTCCAAAACAATCTGTGTTTGCTATTTGAAATGTGGTTTAAATGAATTCTTCAAATGCAATTGGTTTGAGATTCTCTTCTTTAAGCCATTTTCCACTGAATTAATACAGGCCAAATCCAGCACCTCTTACCAAAAACAACACCCAACACTAATAATTCTAATATTGAAAGGCCATTTTCCTGTAGGAGAATGGGTATGCCATTGTCAGATGAAACAGGAACAGAAACAGTTTTAACATAACTGCCTACAAAAGCACAGAAATAGAGAACCCTAAAACACCACCATAATTACAAGGAAAATGCTAATGAGCCAAGCAGTGGTTTTCTCAAAACTATTTTGCTCCTTACCCTTATAGGATAAACAACTGCTTCCTTGACCAGTCTTTTAGCCGTATCCAGCCCAATAATATCATCCCACTTCACGTTTGGATTATGGAGATAAATGTCCTGCAACATACACCACATCCTGTTAGTAAAATTTCTTGTGCATTTGGATAATAATCTCTGGCAAAGTAAAAGAATTGACTCAGCTATAAAGAGTGCTATTAAGTGATAGAAACCATATTATTTAACCTTATGTCCCGGGGACCTCCCAGAAGGAAAGCATACACAGCAATCATTTCTACAGAGCTGCTACATTGTGCCTTGCTTCCCTTCAAGCCCCTAGTTTCCCTAAGAGTATATATACTGCTAAATGTATATGCTGAGCAGATCTGTTTCTCAGATCTGTTTTCTGATAGTTGCTTTTAGTAACCAACTAACACATGAAGGGCTACCACAACACGAACCTTCACTAACCCTAATATTTTGTCTCTTACACTGGCAAGTATTGGATGTTTAAAAAGAAGTGTAAGCAACAGGAGTGACATGTTGGTTCATATTTACATTCACCAAAAATCTGCAACCAAAGGACTTTGATAATTAAAATTACATCTTAGTCTTTGAATTCAAACACCCTCTGACATTCATTCTTAGGTGAATTTCTCTTACCTCTGTTTTGAACATGTTACTCTGTAGTAATGAGTTCCACAGTTTAATCATGTGCAATATGAAAGTACTTTTGTTTGGTTTAAACTTGACACTCAGTAACTTTATGGCTGCACCTATTGCTTATATTATTACTTATAAGTAACAGTAAAAAACTGCTATTTACTCACACTATAGAAGACTTTATATGTTGCAGGAAAAGCTGTGAGAAACTCTAACAGGAGGAAAATATTCCCCTAAGCATCTATCAAAAGATAGTCGGTAATTAGTCTATGCCCTGAAGCACTCACTAAATTAATTTCATTTAATTCATCAAACTTTCCAAATCTTCTATGAATCTTTACATTTGCCTTAGCAATATTCTGTGGCTTTGAGTTCCAGAGACTAATTGTTCTGCACAGAATATCCTATCCTCAGTACAAATACTTTGGATAAGTTCTGCTCTCCAATGAAAACAGGCAGTCCCCAGAGACTGAAGAAAAATTATGTGCTTATATCCAAGGGGAAAATATGATTTAATACAATTAGGGAAAATATTTATATAGATTACACTTTCCCTTTTTATTAACAGCAAATTAAGATGAATCAAATTTCTGCTACTAAGTAGAGACTTCCATAACTGTTTCCAAATTAAATTAGATTGTATTGTAAAATAGATACCATGTGCTATTTATTTTTATTGATTTACACAGTGTTGATTACCATAGCAACTAGGAACATACTAGCGCTCTTTACAAAACATACCATAATGAAGGTTTAAAACAGTTTACAAAACATACCACAATGAAGGTTTAAAACAAGCCTGTTGCTTCTTTCTAAGGTAGTAATAAGAACAACATTCTTCTAAAGGTATACCATTAATTAAATTTTATTTAATTAATTAATTAAATTTTATTTAATTAAATTTCATGTAATGAGAATTGAATTGAAAGTAATGAGAATTTTCTTACTTTAAGGTTGGAAATTTCTTAAGAGGTCAATTCTACTAAAGTGCAAACGCAAAACTTGTAGACCAACAATTTCAGCCATATATAGCTATAAAAATCAGTCAGCAAAAGTTTTACAGCTGGTTTTAAGTATGTGTGAGCAAGAGCTGATACCATTTCTGATGCTTATAGAATGTTGTCCTGGGTTCAGCTGTAGCAGTCATTTTTCCCCTTCTTGGTAGCTGGTGCAGTGCAGTGTTTTGACTTTCAGCTCGGGAACAGAGCTGATAACAAGCGATGTTTTGGTTTGGCCAAGGACTTTGTGAGCCTCATGCTCTGCCAGGGAGGAGGGGAAGCCAGGAGGAAGCAGAGACAGGACACCTGACCCAAACTGACCAAAGAGGTATTCCATACCACAGCACGTCATGCCCAGGATGTAACTGGGAGTTAGCCGGAAGGGCTGGGGGACTGCAGGGTTGGAGGAGGTATCAGTGAGAGCTTGGTCGGGCTGGGGGGGCGAGTTATCGGTCGGCTGGTGGTGAGATGATGTATTCTCTTCCCTTGTTATTTCCTGTATCATTATTATCATTGGTGGTAGCAGTAGTGATCTGTGTTATACCTTAGTTACTAAACTGTTCTTATCTCAACCTGTGGGAGTTGCATTCTTTTCGATTTTCCTCTCCATCCCTCCGAGAGCAGGGGGAGGGCAAGAAAAGGGGGGGAAGTGAGCGAACGAATTACCTGACTGGGTTTAAACCACGACAGTTCTTTTTGGCGCCCAACGTGGGGCACGAAGGGTTGAGATAACAACAGATCTGACCGGATTAATAGTCATTCGTCACAATGCTGATTTATTGGCTCTCAGAGTTGTTTTGCTTGATCTCGCAGCTTCAGAATGTTGTAACTTACGTAGAGCCGGTATTTGCTGTGATAGTGTTTATCAAGTATGGGGCTTGGGCTAAGGTTCTGGTCTCACTGTGCTTTATGGCAATGGCTTGTAATACGGGCGGGCTCCAGCAGCAGGGCGGGACGGACGTGGCCGTGGACTTGTACCTGGCTGTCCGGCTGCTCTTCACCGTCCTGGCCCTCACCCTACTCTCCATCTTCGTGAGGCTGCGGGGAGCCGAGGGGGAGCGGCCCCGGGAGCCGGCGGCAGCCGAACCGGCCCGGGAGAGCGGCCCCGGGGACCAAGCGGCGGCGGGAGCGGGGCCGGAGGCCGCGAGGGGACGGCTGCGGGTGGAGGAGGTCGGGGCGGTCGAGGAGCGGAAGGAAGCGGCTGCCGAGCAGCGGGAAAAGGCGGCGGAGGAGCCGAGCCCCGCGGCGGAGCCGAGCCCTGCGGCCGAGCCCAGCCCCGCGACGGCCGATGGCATTTCCCGGAAGCCGCCCGCCGAGCCCCAGGAGGATGCAGGAGACCACGCAGCATTTCCCAGTAAGGCAGAGGAGGAAGAGCTGGACTCAGGAAAAGAGAGGCTGGCGGTGGGAGAGCCGGCAAGCACAGCAGCTACACCAGCCCCAATGACAAGTACAGCAGCATCGTTTGAGAGTTCTGGAGGTTTTGAATGGCCTTTGAGTATCCTTGGGACCTGCCTGCTGATTGTGATGGGGATCAGCATGTTGGCACACACACAGACTGTGTTCTACCCACAACCATTTTGTCTGATCTCAAAAGTTAAGCAGAGTCAGGTTTGGGTCTTGTCTGGGGTTAGACGAGGATATGGGGGGACCAAGAGATTTTCCCCAAGGCTGGACAGTCATGAGTGGCAGGGTGTGTGGGACAGTATGGGCAACTATCTAGTCCACTGGGCCCCTCCAGTGCTTTGGAAGCGTCGGAGATGGAAGGCAGTTGTATGGAGTCCCCAGCAACAAGCTGCAGAAACTGCTGAAGGGGACAGTGAATTATTTTGAGCCTGGTGGGCCCATGGCACTTCAGGCCATCAGAGCAGAGATGCAACATAGAGATGGACTCATGATCGAGGGGTGGACTTAGCAATGGACACTATTGCCCAGGTTATTCACGAGTGTGAACACTGCACACAGTCTCTCCTGCTCTGGAAGACTGTTACAAGAGATGGAGCCTGACATCATGGACCAGATGGACACAGCAGCTTTATAGGGACTGGTACATGCACTAAGTTAAGAGTGCACCGAGATAAGAGTGATGGTATATTGAAAATGTGGGATCTGAGCCTGACGTGAATGGTATGGAATAAGGGGTGGATAATGTCCTGGGTTCAGCTGTAGCAGTCATTTTTCCCCTTCTTGGTAGCTGGTGCAGTGCAGTGTTTTGACTTTCAGCTCGGGAACAGAGCTGATAACAAGCGATGTTTTGGTTTGGCCAAGGACTTTGTGAGCCTCATGCTCTGCCAGGGAGGAGGGGAAGCCAGGAGGAAGCAGAGACAGGACACCTGACCCAAACTGACCAAAGAGGTATTCCATACCACAGCATGTCATGCCCAGGATGTAACTGGGAGTTAGCCGGAAGGGCTGGGGGACTGCAGGGTTGGAGGAGGTATCAGTGAGAGCTTGGTCGGGCTGGGGGGGGCGAGTTATCGGTCGGCTGGTGGTGAGATGATGTATTCTCTTCCCTTGTTATTTCCTGTATCATTATTATCATTGGTGGTAGCAGTAGTGATCTGTGTTATACCTTAGTTACTAAACTGTTCTTATCTCAACCTGTGGGAGTTGCATTCTTTTCGATTTTCCTCTCCATCCCTCCGAGAGCAGGGGGAGGGCAAGAAAAGGGGGGGAAGTGAGCGAACGAATTACCTGACTGGGTTTAAACCACGACAAATGTAAGAGTCATAACACTATCAGATACTGTGATACTCCAAAGACAAGTGCCTTTTGGGTTTTGGAAAGTGATGCATGCAAAACATTTACCGGCTTCATAGCCACTGATCCCCAGTAGCCCAGGGCGTGTTTGCTAGACTGCACCTCAACTCATGAGTGAAATGAAAAGAGGCTGACAATATTGGAATTCCTTCCAGGTACATTAAATAATAGTTGATATTAACTAATATATTTAAATATCTCTTTTCAGTGTTGTATATAGCTGTAAGAACAAAGGGAAAAGCTATGACAGTGTCATGGGTACAGCATGATTAGATTACATGTTGCCCATTAGAAAGGAATGGTCTTAATTACTTCCTCCCACTGGGAATCAGAAAGAAACATCATTACGTACAGAAATGACCTGCTGGGAGTTGCATGATAAGAAAATATCCTGCACATTCACGAATAAACACTATCAGTGACAGTAGAAAGAAACAAACAGAATTCTCAGATGACAAAGATAACCACGATCTCTATAAAACCAAAATGGAGATCCAATCTTACTTTGCTTACAACTGTTGCAAGTTCTCTCATCTCACCAGTCATGCCAATAAAAGCACTAAGGGGTTTTAATAATCGTTCCTAAAAAGAAGACAAATGTAAGTTCTTGTCAGACCTCTGTTATTTTGAAATAGATAAACCATGAAATAGTTTCAAAAAAGCTGATACATCATAATATCTACTTTGAAGGCTGTAAAAATATAGATAATAATTAAGATTTTGTAGTAAGCCGTATTTGCAGTAACTCTTCTCATCTGAAAGAATCTAACCCTGAAGTAACATTAAAATGAGCAGCACTCTTACTGCACATGTCCTAAACATGCCCTACGTATATTAAGAGGACTGAAAAATATCACTAGGGGTCACTGCACCATCACATTCTGTGTATTGACAGTTTGCAGACTGCCACCACCCAAGTTGGATGCACCGTCTGAGAACCAATGGCTTGTTTCAAGGAGTTATCAGTGAAAATTTCTCTAAACCACCCAAACTCTGTTCTTATCTCAGCCAAGGCAGACACTAAATAACATACTGAATTCAAAGGAACCAGTATTTCACCCTCAGAAGTTCTGCATGTTTCTGCAGTATGTTTTTGGGATGAACCCTAAGGCATCATTCGTATTTCTTGTCTTCTTTCATGTTCAATGACAACATTGTTGTGGTATTTTATTTTGCTCCTTGTTACGTAAAACTGATGCTCACATTCATTGGAAATATGAACAGAAACACTTACTGATGGATCCGGGTCACAGTTAAGGCTGTTCAAGACTATTCCATTTGATGATACTTTGACAGCATCCTGAATCATCCCATGGAAGTCAGTTACCTGGCCCTAAAGGAGAAAATAATGTTGTGATAGGCTTTACAATGATGGTAACTATGTTGTTAAAACTGCACTGGTCCAAATTTTGCTTGCCATTACAGCAATGAATTTCCTTACTTCATATATGGTTTTAAATATGGAAAAAACTGCCCCCAGAATCTATAGTAGCAATGGGAAAAGAACACACATTTCAGTCATACAACCATTTAAGTGCTGAGCCTCCTATCATCTCATTCAGGAATTTGAAATTTATCTTCAATTTTAGCTATTACCACTGGGTTTTAAAACCAGAAATATTTCTTCTTCTTGATTATGTTTGAAACACTATTTAATGCAAAGAATTAATGCCCAAATAATAAAATTCACCCTTTGGCTAATTATATATGAAAATTTTATCTAAAATTACATAAAAAAGCTGGTATTTAATATTTGTGAAAAACTCTAAGATAAGTTTCTTTCTACAAGCATATTTCTATCATAAATCACATACTAGGTTTCCACCAACCCTTCTTGTGTGAGTGCCATCTCCTCCACTTTTGCTGATTGCTGAGATGTTTAAGCCAAAGTCAGACTGCTCCAGAGTAACTGCACTGTCATTATTCTAGAGAAAAGTAAAGTTTAAAACAGACGTGTTACCAAATAGATGAGTTGCAGCCATTCCATTATGGGTATTATCTCACCTCTTCATACATACCCAGACAGACCATATCATTACGTGGAAATTGCAAGAGTAATCCCGTATTTGTCAGACAAACACCACAGTGCATTTAGTTAGACTTCCTCTAACTGGTGACTGCAGTGGTGAAAACTATGTCTCTGGAGCTCAGCATTCAAGCTATTTCATGCATGGAGCTCTCAGTTTAAGTTGCAGGTATCTGCATTTTACATAGCTATGAGAAGAAACACAAACAGTGGAAACGACATCCACATATAAGGCACAGCATGTCAACTCAGAAATGAAGAGGTTTTTCAGATCCTAAGTTATTTTGACATACACCACAGCAGCTATTGCTGTAAAATCAAAAATCTAATGCTTGTTTTTTTGATTTTTTTTTTGAAGGGTGAGAACTGGTCAGAGATGAGGTGCTCTCTGTGAAGGAATATAGACAAGGACCTGAAAAAAACCCAGAGGTTGTCCTTCACCTAGCTCCTCAAAAGCTGTAAGAGACATGGTGCTCGCCCACCAACCTGCTGTTCCTGCTCCATCCTCTGTAAAGGATAATAATAAAGTAGTTTTGACACAATCTTACCAAAATGAGACTCACAAACCCAGAAATTACAGAGCCAAATTACTCCCCCAATCTCACACCTTATGCACTGTGAAGATGCTTAAAACTGACTGCAGACTTTCCACTTGCTTGGCTTGTCCTGCTTTCTGGCACTAAAGGATGAATCTAATGGGAAAACTCTGGTTGCTTTCCATATATGCTGGATTATATGACTCTTTTTTCTCTAATTTTTGCTTGTGACATGCTCCCCAAATCACAGCCAGGAAGCATATTCTCCTTGCATCAGTCTTGCATTCATAATCCTTAAATCGCATAATTAGTAAAAAGTATTAGTAACATAATTATTAATTGAGCAACTCACATCCTCTCGCTGCCTATAGCCTCTCAAAATAAAGTCACATTAATTTCAACGACAGTGCCAAGATAAAACACATGCAAACCTGGCTGGGGCTCTTCTTGGTGAAAGATTTGAATTCTGCTGCACTTCCAGATGAGGTTGTTAACAATGGTTGTTGCACTGTCTGATGTCTGAGCCTTGGGAGGTTATGAAAAGAGCTTGCTGCCCTAGAATTAAAATAAAATAAAATAAAATAAAATAAAATAAAATAAAATAAAATAAAATAAAATAAAATAAAGAAAGATTTTCACAAATTTTTTCCTTCAAAATACCAAGATTAAAAGGCAGAGATTTCAACTAAAGCAGTGTCGAGCTACCTTTGCTCCCACTGAAGTTAAAGCATCAATTTCAATCACAGCGAAGTTCAATCTTACTGCTTGCAAATACGCCACCCCACCTCAGCCACACTGCAAAAACTCTGTAAGTTGTCTGGATCTCCATTGGGGAAATAAGTCTCTGCTTTCCTCTAGCAGATACAGAAAAATGTGCCACAGAGTCAGCAGTGTGACTCTACACTTTAGTATTCCAGTGGTACCACACCATTATTTTAACCATGCTGCATATTGCTTTTATAGGAAAATTTTCTGCACAGGAAAGAAAACCATATATTTCTCTTACCTTCTTGGTCTTCCCCTAGTTCTCAGCTGTTGTTTATTTTCTGCTGAGGCAAAATTAATATTAAAATGGAAAATAATTAAGGATATAAAAAAGAGCAACTTGATTTCATTTTCCTCACCCCATTCAAACATACTTTTGAGCACACAGTAACGACTTTGGAAATACTGCATAAACAGGAATAGCATGATTATAAGCAATATAAGCTTGCAAAAGTGTTTTGAAAAAAAAAATGATATTGGAGAGAGCAGTTTGGCTTCGGGCTTGTTAAATTTTAGGTTCAATTCAGTCTTTGGTTTCTTTCCTTACATTTTAAAACCAATATCATTTTCAATGTAAGATGGACACTACCAGAAATCAGATTAAACACTAACTTAAACTAATTTAATATACCACATGGAACACCTATTTAATGCGAATATTTTTTTTTTCATTGGGAAATAAGAATTTGCCTTACTTGTCTTAATACTGATTTTATCATGGTTCAACATACCAAGACAGTATAAATGCCACATTACAATGGCGGTTATCAAACTGTTTCTAAGTCATTTTACCTATATAGGAAATTTTTTGTGTTTATCAAACATTTCATTTACCTGTGATCTGAAAGTTGTTGGAAGCCATATGAAACAATGACAACTGCTCAGAGATGTTCTCTGGTCAATCTTCCCCTTCTCTGATAACTCGTATTTTTCTTACAAGACAAACAGGTACAGATGTTGGTGTTCTCTGTAGCTTTCAAGCTTTTCAAAACTGATTCTTACACAGTAGTTCTTATGGCTTCTATAAGTTATATTTTGTGCTCAAGTACAAAACCACTCAGGCTCTCAGCTTCATAACAGAATGCTCATATTCTGATTTGCTTTATTCTGTATCATTCATTAATAATTCAGACTTCAAGTCCTTTGGAGCAAATAAACCTATTACTTTTTTGGCACATTACCTTTAGGATATGAAAATGTGCAAAAGAGATGGTTAATGAGATGAGTGATGATAAACTTTTAAGCAATAGTTTGGATGAGCTAAGTTATACTATTTCATTAAAGTGGTTTAATTTCAAAATTAAATCCAAAATAGAACAGACTTACTACGGTCTTCCCAGGAAAGGAAAGTGAATACATCTATGGCACAATATTTTGCACTTACATGGCATTTTCCATGATCAAAGCAGTTTTAAAAAGACAGAAAAATACAACCTTCTTGTTCCTCTACAGAAAGAGAGAAGGAAGAGCAGAAGAGCTCAAAGCCCTATGTCTCAATTCTTACATCATATGTGCTAGAACTATAGCTCTGTAACTGTATGAGTTCAAACATTAAATGCTGATATACAAGAGAAGTGTGGTGAGCACATCAGGCAAATACACATTTTAGGCTTTGGAAACAGTCTTTCATTTTGGAACACAGTCACATACCAGTGTCCGGGACCTTTTTGGTAATTTTAGGATACTTCTGAAATTTTACAAAGTAATAGCTTTCATATTCCATCAAAATTGTCTCAAGATCAATGTTGTCACAAACTTCAAAGCCACGTAAACTTAATTTCGTCTCTTGTTCCAAAGCATATGCAGCATCAACGTACCTGGTAATTAAACAAAAACAAACAAAACCAACAACTGTGAATCATTATCTTACTCTGATTGTTGAAAAGGCAAACAATGGCATTAGTGTGCGTATGGTATTTTTAACCTGTCCCCAACTACGTTTATTATAAAAGCATGAAGTTCTTTCCTGTAAGGGTGGTGAGGCACTGGAATGGGTTGCCCAAGGAAGTTGTGAATGCTCCATCCCTGGTGATGTTCAAGGCCAGGCTGGACAAAGCCTTGGGTGACATGGTTTAGTGTGAGGCGTCCCTGCCCATGGCAGGGGGGTTGGAACTAGATGATCTTAAGGTCCTTTCTAACCCTAACTATTCTATGAATCTATAAACCCCATTAAAAAAACCTTTGCTGATTTATCTGAAATATTTTTAAATTATATAGGAAATTTTTGGTCCAGAAACTGAAATAATTTAGCAAAGTAAAGAGCCAAGACATGTAATAGTAGTTTAACTCTTCCTCATATGAAACCAAAAGGCCATGCTGTGAACGCACCCAACAGAAGACAGGACACATCACAAGAGGTCAAACATGCACAAACCTACAAATGTACAACATTATTCTTTAAAAAGAACATACCCTTTCTCCATTAAATAATGCAGAATTAGAATGAGGAGATTTTTTCGACGAGCTTCTGTTCGCATCTCATCCTGTGAATTAACACAAAGCTCTGGATCAAATGTAATATTCTCTTTATTGCTGTAAACAGCATCTAAATGTAGCCTGTGGAAACAAACAAATTAAGACAACAGCATGCAAGAACTGTAAAACAACTCACTGTTAATAAACACAAGGAAAGCTGGTTTCAATGTAATTTTTCTTACACATTATCAGGGCTACTGAATGGGCAGAAACCTTTTCCTAGGGAAGAGAACATTACTTTGAGGTTGCAAAAATAACTTACTTCCCTTACTATGGCTGTGGATTTCCACCATGTCCAGGCTGCTGCGGATTTCAGGGTAAGACTCTTGCAGACCTCATGCACAGTGTCTCCAAGGGCTGTGCAAGGAAACCTCATGCTCCAGTTTGGCTGTGTCCTTCTCTTTCAACTAGAAACACACCTTCTGAGTGCTTGGAGAAGTGCGGATGGAGAACAGGTATGGGATCTGCATGACTACACTACAAAGACCAGCTGTAACGCTGCTGGCACCTCCCATTTCACAGGCCTTGATACATAAACACATGTGAAATAGAGCACGTGAGGGGTTTGTAGTTTGGGGTAACACCATACTTGCCTGATTTTAACATATGATTGAACAAAGTCAGGTCCCAACATGCGGAAATTTTAATATGGAATTAGTCCCTGGATTTCTCCACACTGACTGGAGAATCCAAAGTTATTCACAAATGGCTCAGTGTTAAAACAAGGCAGCATGAAATACCTTCACCATCATTTAGAGAACCCACATCTGTATTGAGTACAACAAAAGGGGCAGTGGAAACAGAAATCTTGCAAGATACTAGAATAAAGCCTTAATCTGATGAAACATGCCATATATGCCAAGTGTCTGCAGAGAAACCCTGAGACTCTAGGGTTGCAACTGAAGTTGCTATAAGGAGAGCTCTAAAAATCAGCATATTGGCTTTGATCTGCCTCATCAGGATTTGAAGCTGTGACCACAGGAAAAGCAGGTATGGCCAAACCCACATTTACGATAATAAATAATTTCCTTTCCCTTTTAGGGTGCTGGCATTCAGCACTGGGACCTGCACTCGATGATCCTTATGGGTCCCTTCCAACTTGAGACATTCTATCATTGTATGATTCTGTGATTACTTACAAGGACCCAGTGTGAGCATGAAAGGGTTCAGTGGACAGGGAAAGAGCAGTAGTTTTTTGTTGATTACAGAGCACATACATATATACTTCATCACATTGCACAGCAATGCATACACAGACTCCCAATTCCACCGAGTTTCCCTCCCTTCTGTTCCAAATCAATCAGTGCCTGCATCCATTCCCAAGAAAAAGCCTAGCCCAAATGTTAGGAACCTACAGGTGGCAAACCCACAAATCTTTGTCCTCTTCATACTGGAAGCAGAGCCCCAGCATCTGTATCTATGGCTTCTGTTGCTCTCTGACAGTGCCTGGCACACAAACAAGCCAAAGAGTTAGTACTGGGCTTGTTTTTAAATCCCACAAGATGCCTAAAAGAAATATTCACATGGAAAGACAATTTCTCTATCCTTCCTGGTCTCTTTGAAGGAAGCATCTTTATTGGAAATTGCAGATACTGAAGAATTAAGGTGCAAAGGTGCTTTTGGGTGATGTAATTTGCTGCAAAACCAACTTTCATCTTTTTGCATGCTGCTCCTTTGTCAGATTAGACCTACCTGCTCCCTCTGCTCTGGACACAGCAGTGGGTATCATATAGTGCTCTGCTGCCGATTTAAACACTTGAGATAGCACAATCAGCTATTGTTTTATTTTAAAACTAATAGCTCTCCGTGTGTTTGCCAACCTGTAAAAAGCACCGGGTAGAGCAGGCAAAAGTTCCGTCTAGCAGGTATTTTCTGGGATGTCTGCTTCAGACGTGGGGCCATCTAGTGACACAAAGAAGAAAGGGCTGGGGTTTGCTTTTACCAGTGTTTCCGGGGAAGTGGAAAGTGCGTTGGCATTTCACTTACAAATAAAAAGACTAGTAGAATCTTCATTCTGGTTTTCTAGTGATAAAACTCAACCTAGCTGCAGAAAAGGGAAGAAATCATATCGCACTTCTAGCCTTTACGACCTTTGATACCCCCTTCATGAAAGTTATGTGGTCACTCTGCTTCTGACTCCACAAGAAGCTACAAGACCTTTTTTTACAATTTACCTTTCAGCAGTGGTACAGAGATGATTGTTTTAAACCATCTGGGGGAGTAAGAGTGCCGTGTAAATGCTTGAGTGAACTAGACAGGCTCATGAGAGGTGCTGCAACAAGAAATGAACCAATTCTGAGAACCGTCATTAGCAAAGAGAAAACATTTACTCCTGGGAAAGGATCTTTTCCTTCCTACTGTTCTTTGGTGTTTGGAAAACAGATTTTGAATTGTGGACCTTTTACCATTTCTCCTGGATGATCTGAATCTTCTGAAGCAGAGTTGGAGGTGCAAGAAGGAAGCTGGAATCATCACTCCTGGACAGTCCCACCTGTATGTTCTACATGCAACTGCTTCTGCTGTTTTATGCTGAGAAAAATTAGCTGTTGTGTTTACTCACATATCAAAGGGCAAGATCACAGCTACTCTGAATATTTAAAACATACTGTGAGAACACAATGGTTGCAACAGAAGACAAACACATCAAGCGTTTCGTGTTTAAGTATTTACATTAATACTCTGACATGAGATGAATTGCATCTGCCTGACAGGGCTCACAATCCATGCTTGGAACTTTCCTTGAAAAGAATTTGTATTCTGGTGTATCTTCTGCTGCTGTTCATCCAACTAGGTTACTTCTGCTATCCCTCAGGGCATTTGAAATTACAGTGATGGGCAGCATCTCAAATACTGTAAGCAGAGATTTGCTTTGGGTATAGGATAATGCTGTGCCTATCCATGAGCAATCCACTTCAACCTTAACCTGGTAATGTTCTTGTTCTGTTGACCAAGCAGAAACAAAAGTGAACCTTTACATCAAAGGAGAGACCCATCTAAAAATCAGAACAGAGTTTAGACAGAGAGGTACATTCTGTCTTTATCTCTTGTTAATAAGAATGCAAACAACAATGGCTAATTTTGAGAGGTCAGATATGTGTTCAAAGAAAATTAGCTGGATGTTAACCTGTTGATAACAAAGAATTCCATGAGATTGGATCTGAAAAAGGGAACCAAGATACTAGTATCTCCAGTCCCAGTTCTGTGAGGTTTCTATAAAACAAAAAATTAAGGGCCTTACAAAATTACAGGTCTTGAGAGTCAGTGGTGCTTGACCAGTCTCAGAAAGCCACCTCTCCCAGCCATTCACCACTCCTATTTTACCATGTACTCTTTCCATGAAGTAGATGAACCTCTGCATGTGTCAGTGCAACCAGTAGCTTCAGCTGTCCACCCAAAAGACCACTCTGCCAATGAGACAGGATCTCCTGTCCTGACTCCAGTTTATTGTCTAGGGACTGACCCCCACTGCAAGTATGTCCACATAACAATGTGCCTGAAACACTGGATGAGACCCTTAGTGTCATGGCTTACTGGTGGGGAGCCAGCAGTGCTGGGGTTAATGTTGGACTTGACGATCTTGAAGGTCTTTTCCGACCAAAATGATTCTATGATTCTATAACACTGCCCAGGACTTCTGCTGTGCTTAGAGAGGAAATGGTAAATCTTACACAGCATGAAAAAAATAGGAGCACTTATAAGTGCAAAGTTACTTAAAATTCTGTTTAGCTTTATAGTGATTTAGCCTTCCTGTTTAATTAGTATCTAGAATTGCATGTTGTTTATAGCCACTGGTGTTTCAATAGATGTTTAAATGTTTAAAGTTTAATAAGCTTCCGTTCTCAAAAGAACAAAAAATGTATGTAATTAAATTTTCAATTACTATAGGGGATTTTGGGGTCCATGCAATTAATAAAAGCTTAAGGCACTTAAGTGTGATCTTGTTTTAAAAACTAAAGAGTTGAGCACTTAACTAATTAGCTCCAACACTTGTATTTTAGTTATTTCCAGCTTAACAAAAGTGTATGTATTCCTTTCTTTGAGCTGTTTAAAATTAAACTATTAGAGCTATGCATCTTTAAATGCCATTGTTTACATAGTTTTTCCCATACCTTTTACAAAAATGCATTTACATTATAAATCAATCTGGTCTCCTGCATAATTCCATTAAATACTGAAAGATTAATTTAACCCTATAATGCTTTATTATAATTTGATTCTGTATTTCTGCATTAATATATTGGATAGAATGAAGAAAAAAAAATACAGAGTAAGTAAGCTTGGAAACATGAACAAGAAGAAACCTGAAAATGGGCTCTGGACAAGCTCCTGTAGGGACAGGACAAGGGGAATGGCTTTAACCTGCCAGAGGGGAGACTGAGATGAGCTCTTAGGCAGAAGTTCTCCCCTGCAAGGGTGGTGAAGTGATGGCACAGGGTGCCCAGAGAAGCTGTGGCTGCCCCATCCCTGGCAGTGTTCAAGACCTGGTTGGATGAGGCTCAGAGTAACTTGCTCTAGTGGAACGTGTCCCTGCCCATGGTACGGGTTGGAAATGGATGAGCTTTAAGTTCCCTTCCAACCCAAACAAGTCTGGGATTCTGTGTTACTGTAGTGCTGTGCCCTTGTACATCGAACTGGTGCAGTCAAGATGAATTCAGAGGGATCTGTGGTTAGGAATTCAGACAAGAGGCAAGAAGTTTGCTCTACAATCACACAGGGTAGTCTAATAATACATGCATTGTCCCTTTCTTCTTTTGCCTTTGAGATCCCCAGATGTCTGCGAAGTATAGGCTTCCTCAAACTGGCATCATATCAGGGTAGAGAGAGTCACTGAGGCATGATGGACTTTCATAGTTTCCCACAGCTTTCCCTCTCCCCTAGCCCCTAATATGATATATTTGCAGCCTCGTCAGGCTTCTTTGAAGGCCGACGTTCAATTATTGTTTGGATTGCTGACAGTATTTCTTGAGAAACACAAGCAGAGAAGGGAAATGGTGAGTTTTGGCCAACGTGTAACTTGGCTGCCTGTGAACAGAATTTCCCAGCACAAAGAAAAGGCACTTTTTTACTTTCTTCTCTCTTCCAAATTATACAAACTTGCTACAAACAATAGAGTTGGCAGTTTCTCAAGAAGGATTACAAATAGCTTTCATAATTAAAGACATACAGAAAGTTCACACAGATGTTACAGCTGTCCTAGTAATTACACTAGGATGCATATGGGAGGTGTTACACTTAAAATGTAAAGATATTTACAGTCTGAGTTTTGTGCTCTGAAAACAGAAACCTTCCAATTTCTCCACTCATTCCAATATTTACATGCCATCTTTCATTAAGTCATGCTTCAATGCTAAAAGACACTCACGGATCACTATTATCTCCCTTTTTCAAGAGGAACATTGATGAAGCCAGGTTTTATGCTGTCAAGACTTCACTAATTTGAAGTGATACATGTTATGAACACATAAAAATTAACTGACGTGAAGTATGGTGAATTATTAAACAATACAAATTAAAGATGTTGAATTCACAAATTAATTAACAAGCATTAACTCTCCCACTCATTTGTAAGAACTGTACTGCAGTTCACAATAATATTACTTGTCAAGACCGATTTGCAGAACATATGACATATTCAACAGTGAAATGCCTCACAAAAAAAGACTGTAAAACTACACTGGATAGTAACTGTAAACAGCTACAGAGTTTTAATGCATGTAAGAATTTGTATTTCCAATGGAATTTATTTTTTAAAACACTTTTCCATCATTATTATTAAAAAATAATAATTTCCATTCTGTAACACAGATCAATGGGAAAATGCAGTACAGATAAGGATAGGACTAACTTAGGATAGGATTGGACTGAGTTATTTAGTGCTACAAATTAAAAATGTAGCAGCCTAACTTTTACATACTGCACTGCAATACTGGGATTCAGAAAACAGAAATTAAATACCTAGGCTCCCTCCACAGAAGTCAAGAACCTTAGAGCAATAATTAAAGTAACCTCTTTGCAGTTTCAGGTTGTTCCTTAGACACTGACTGACTTTAAAAAAGCAGGCTCCAAACTTCTGCCTCTCTGCGAATAACTCCCTGTACTCTGTACCCCAAATATAAACTCTGATCTTCACATCCGTCCTGCCAAAAGCCTACAGAGAAGCCAGACTACAAAGCAAACCAACCCATATCCAGTGGGAGAACTCACAGGGAAGGATTCTTGAGCGCCAGGTTCTAGTCTCAAAAATGTTTCTGCATTTAGCAGTCAAAACCATCCTTGGGACCAGGGCCAGCCAAATCACCATTGGTGAAGTTACAAATCAGTCCTGTTTTTCTCATTTTCCTTCTGCACATTAACACAATTTCAATACCACACCTTAGATCACCATTCTCAGTGGCTGTGATCTGAACCTACTTTAGGGCTCAGAAGGATACTGCTGTAGGCTCCTGTTCTCAGGTATATCTATAACCTATTAATCTAAGAGTCCAGCATAACCTAAAACTCAGCCTAGGACACCCTCCCCAAACTAACCGATCCTGTCCTATTCATACACAGCAGGAACGTGGATTTACTGTATGCATTCAAAGCACCCAACACCTTTGTGGGACAGGTTTTCAAGTCTTGCAGTCTGTCTTACTCTGGCTATATTTGACCAGCAGATGGAAGCAAAAGAACAGGTTAAGAAAGTCAGAAAACTGCTGCTTCTGGGCTTCCTGGATCCGTTGGATAAAAGCATGGCGAGGCAGTACAGCCTTGACTTGTGGGAAAAGAAGCTGAAGGGGGAAGGAACATGGACTTGTCCCCTTTCGCTGTATGTGCTCCTACTATAACCATGCAAATACAAGACCTGGGGGCAGCAAGAGGCCCTGCGCTGAGAGGCGGACAGGACAAAAGCACTTCCATCCTGCAAAGGGAAGGGAAACCAGAAATGGAAGTTGCATGATGCCCACCCTTAAGAGGCAGGACCGACATCATCCCGGTGACTCCGACACCTCCACGCCCCACGTCCAACTCAAGGCCGACCTCACGCCGGCCGCCATGATACAACCAACTCCCCTCCAGCGCATGCGCGAAAGTGCTACGCCACTCCTCCCTCCCTCCACCGCCCCCCCCCCCCCGCCGTTTCTATAGCAACAGTAACGCGCGGCCCACCGGTGCTTACCGCTTCCCTCGCCTCGTAGGTGGTTCTCAGCGTCTCGCAGGAGAGCTCCATCGGGGTAGGCAACGGGCCCGAGCCCGGCCACGGCAGCAGCAGCCAACGGGGAAAGTCACGGCGAGCTGCGGATAGCGGCCGGTCCCGCACCCGGCGGAGGGCAGCGGGCGCCCGTGAGGCAGAGGCCCGCCCTACAGCCCTCAGCCAGCCAATCGAGAGGCGGAGGGGTGAAAGTTGCCGAGGAACTGCCCAATCATGAGTGGCAGAGGGTCGCCGTTTAACAGCTGGGGCAAGCAGGGTAGAGGGGAATTGGGGGCTACGTCCGGTGCTGCGCCCCTCACTGCAAGAGAGACACTGAGGTGCTGGAGCGGGGCCAGAGAAGGGCAGTGGAGCTGGAGCAGGGCCTGGAGCACAAGTGTGATGGGGAACGGCTGAGGGACCTGGGGGGTTCAGTCTGGAGAAGAGAAGGCTCAGGGGGGACCTGATGGCTCCCTACAAGTGCCTGACAGGAGGATGGAGCCAGGAGGGGCTGGGCTCTGCTCCCAAGGAACAAGGGATGGGACAAGAGGAAACGGCCTCAAGCTGCACAAGGGAAAAATTTCTCCCCTGAAAGGGTGATCAGACATCGGAAGAGGCTGCCCAGGACAGTGGTGGAATCAAACCATGTAGACAAGACACGTTCACAAACCATGTACGAGGCCCTTAGTAACACAGAATCATAGAATAGCTAGGGTTGGAAAGGACCTTAAGATCATCTAGTTCCAACCCCCATGGTTCAGTAGTAGCCTTGGCAGTGCTGGGGAACAGTTGGACTCGATCTTAAAGGTCTTTTCCAACCTAAGCAATTACACGATTCCAAGATTCTGTGACGGCTCTAGAGAGCATGGGCACTCAGCACCACCCCTTCACATTTTTGCCATCCACTTCCTGTAGTGTTACATTAAAAAGTAAATGGCTCTGGGTTAGGAAAGATGATGGAGAAGCCTAAGGCTGGCCTCCAGCTGACCTTGTAAAGTTCCTTCCTTAAAACAGTGCACATATACACAAATAAAATCTACTAATCTCAGCTGATCCCCTCCAGTTTTCTCACTGCTTGCAAATCATATCCAGTTGTCCATTAGCAGCACAGGAGGTTGCTGAGGTGTAATGCTGATGAGTGTAATTGTTGCAATGCTGAGAGCAGTTATAGGATGGGTTGTTAGGCTTTTTTGGTTTGTTTGGTTTTGTTTTGTGTTTTTTTTTTTTAACTGTCGCGTGTTTTGTGGGAAGCAGGGAGAGTTTATTTAGAAGATCAGATGTTCTGGGTGGGTTTTCTTTCCCCAACAAGCCTAATTCAATTTAGGGGGCAGCGTGATTAGCACCTATAGGCTCCCTTGTTACCCCAACTAGGGCCTAATGGGATAAAATTAAGCACAGGAATAGCTGCAGTAACATCCTCTCACATAAAAGCATGACTGCTTTGAAAACAAGTTGTCTGTTCCTACAATGGCTAGTTCTGGGTTGGATGTTGATGCTTGTCCTGTAAGCCAGGAAAATGAGGGAGTGGGAAATGCTGCAGGAGCTGCAACAGAGGATTCTGAGATGGAGTGTAGAGAAAGGAAGAATTACAGCAAGCAGGGGAGTAAGAAGAAGCAGCAGAAGTATGGACCATTGAAGTGCCAATACTGGAGGTAAGTCTTTCGAAAGTTTGGTAGGAAGAGATATTTTTGGAGAGGTTGAAGGTTTGGTAAGCTGCTAAAATGGCGTGGTTAACTGAGGAGTGTAAGTCTGGAGTTGACATGTGTGTGAAGACTCTTGGAAAAAACAGATTCTGAAGAACTAGAACAAAAGGAGAGACTGACTGTAAGTACTGAAAAGAATAAAGGAGGGAGACTTGGACGAAATCTTGGTGTGGAGATAAGTTAATGGAGTGGGAGAGGCTAGGCCTGAGCTTTTGTGGATAGGACCCAGGAAAAAGCTTGGGGAGGAATGTAAGTATTGAGTACTTGTTTTTTTTGTGGGCATGTCCCCAGTGTTGAGTAGAAGGCAGGCTGCAAGGGAAAACTATGGGAGAACAAAATATGATGAAGAGAGGACTGTCAAGCATAGGAATTAGGATAATATGTAAATTCATCTTAAACATGTGAGGTGTTAAAATACAAAGTATGGTCTGTTTGCTCTTATGCTAGTGGATGTTTGGGATGAGATGAATGGGAAAGTTGAAAGATGTTATGAAGTGAGTGTATGTAAGGAAGAAACGCCAAGCTCTGGCATGAGCCTGAACACTTGATGGCTGTCTCAATGTATTTGAAGAAAGAAACATGTGAAGGTATGTTCAGAGAAGGCTTTTGTCCAGCCTGTGCTGGTATATGCTTTAATGATCAAAGAGATCCTCACCTGCAGCTTGCCCCTTTGGTCTGGTACTGAATTGCAGTCAAAAAGACGCATCTGATGGACTTAGGAGTTCAACTTCTGCAGTGGTGTTGCAGACAGCATGCTTTGTTAGGCTGCAGATGCCTCACAAAGGGGGTCTAAAATGAGCAAATTCCCTATGTTTAAATTTTCAAAGAAATGGTTGCTGTAAGACCAAGCATAGAATCAGTTTATGCAAAGAAGGACTAGCTCTCTGTGGTTATGGCTAGCAGAAATAAGGGTTTATCTTGGACTAGCTGGTAGTAAATGAGAAGGAAGGCCATTGCAAAATTACTACTAATTATGTTAATTTTCTAGTTCTTACATTTCCAGATCTTGTAGTGATGTTGCATGACCATAGCCACTGTGTTAGATGGGTGCTAGTACCCTCTAGACAAGCTCAGTTAGTTGTTCCTAGCATTGCTTGCCCAAATCCCTCTCTAGCACAGCACTCTGCCAGTGTGTCCTCTCCCCTGGCCCATGAAGAAACTCCTTGTGTAGCATCCTCACATTTGCTCTGACTTGTCCTATGGCTATAGGTGTCACTCCAAATCCATCGATTGTGCAAAAATTGCTGCCTTTTGGTTAATATGGGCAAATACATTTTGCATTTCAGATATTCTTCTCCCTCTCTTCCCCCCAAAGGTCTCTTCAGCTTTGTGTTTGGGTTGGTTTGGCTGTTTGCCTGTTTGTTGGCTCAGTTTTTACTTTTTCATTTCTATTTTATTGCAATAAACCGGTTGTTTGGTTTAATGGCACTGTTGCCAATGAAACTGAATATTGTGACTAGGTAATTATTGTGACTAGATAATGATCTCTCGCTGCTTTTGAAAATAATATTCTCAGCTGCACCTCAATGTTTATTTTTCTGTAAATGTCTCAACATTTCCCTTACAGCAGGAAACCCATTATCCAAGTTCTGAAGCTTACAGCCAGTGACATTTTCGCTTCATTTTTTATTAATAAAACGTGTCACATCACCGTTATAATGCAAATTATGAGAACGTTCTTGATGAAATGGATAAAGCTAAGAAAGCTATAAAACCGCAGCAAGTTTGACCTTTCCATTTCACGCAATGCAGTAGCGAGGCTATATTATTTGTTTTTCCTTCTTTATTTTTAAATGAATATAATAATAATGTTTAACGGCTGAGTACGTCCTCCTCGCTGTTACCCATGACGGGAGGGAGCGCGGCAGCCCTGAAGGGGCGCAGGCCCGCTCGCCTTCACACCCCGCCGGGGTCCGCTGCATACCTGAGCCGCCGCTTCACCTCAGCCCCGCGGGGTCCGAGCGGCCCGGCTCGGTACGCGGTGTGTGTGCACGTACAGAAAACGGCGGGTTTTACCTCACGATCCCTCTCCCCCGACCCCCTCCAGGGCCGCCCCGCCGCTCGGAGGCACGGAGCCCCCTCCGTGTCCCACCCCTTTCCCGCTTCTCGCCGGAGCCGCCCTCCGCCGTCACGTGCCGGGGGCGCGCACCGGGTGCACGATGGTGGCGGCGGGGCCCGGCGACGGCGGCGGCAGCAGCAGCAGCAGCGGGTAGAAAATGGCGGATTTCGAGGAGCTGCGGGTGAGGAGGGGGAAAGGCGGCGGTGGCGGCGGCGCGGGTTGAGGTCTTACCACCCCCGGTCCCTCGGCCTTTGCTCATCCCTGGGTGCGTGCCTGAGGAGGAGCGGTGAGCCCAGCCGGAAAACACCGGGGCCCTTCCCCGGGGGGGAACCGCTGTCTGAGGAAACCCTCCCTTGCACTGCGCGCACCCCTCTGGGGGACCCCGGCCAGGCCGCTCTCCGTTCCCTCCATGTGGTGTCGGTGCCGTTCTGCCCCCCCCATCCCGCTCCCGACATCTTAAAAGCTGTTCCATGCGGCCCAACCGCCCGGGAAGCCGGGCCCTGATCCGGTACTGGGGCTCGCATGGCGACGGGCCGGGCTCTCGCGGCCTCAGGAGGGCGCAGCGGGGCGAACCGAAGGGAGAATGCTGAATAATTACCGGATCCTTGAGCATGCTAATGATTACTGAGTTTTTTAAAATTCATTAACCGCTTTCTAACCGTGAGAGCTGCGCCTGTGAAGCGTAAAATCTTGTATTCCTTTTCCAGACCTGTTTTATCTGCAGTTCAATGGCTTTATATTTCAGTCGTGGAC